AATGGGATCTTTTCTGCGTTTCAAGGAATTTCTGAATTATAGGCATTAACTTGTTCCTGCTACTTACCCAAGTGCAAGAAACTCAGCAGGAAAGATGGGAGGCATTGGTAGAATTAGCCTGGAGAAGACATGATAGCAGTCTTCAAGTACTGTATCTGAAATGCTGCCATTTAGAACAGGGTTCCTCAACCTTGGCGACTTGAAGACGTGTGGACTTCAATTCCCAGAATTCCCCAGCCAGCCATGCTGGCTGGGGAATTCTGGGTAGTTGGAGTCCACACGTCTTCAAGTTGCCAAGGTTGAGGAACCCTGATTTAGAAGACAGGTGAAGAATTATTCAGAGTTGTTTCAGAAGAAAAGACAAATACTGTAGTAGATTTGAAGGAAGTAGATTTCCATTGTAGATAGATTTGAAAAATAAGTTTTTCTGAAAGAGATTGCTTTGGCAGATGATGGATTCTCCTTCTCTGAAAGGGTTTGAACAGAAACTGAATGGCCATCTATTGGGGATGCTATAAAAATGAATTGCTGTACTGGGCAGCAGTTTGGACTAGATGACCTCAAGGATCACTAAAAGTATAGTTCTACATTCTATGATTTTATGAACTTGGACAGGGAGATCTGGTAGGCGTTTAATGCTTGGACTTTTGCAGTTCTTGACAATTCTTTGCCAGAGGCTTCTGAGTAAATATAGCAGTCACAAGCTATGTGGAAAGATTCAGTTGTGAATCAACAATTAATTAATGAAATCAGACAGTAGATAGTATGAAACAATTATCCCAACAGAGGGATGTAGTTAGGGTTTGTAGGACGTGCTTTTTTAAAATGTTACTAAGTGTTGATCAGTAAAGTGGCCAGAGCAACCAATGAGAAAAAAATAAAGTGGTTTAAACAAAAAAGAACAGGAAATAGCTTTAAAATAATTCTTTCAGATTGGTAAACTGGTGTAACAGTGACAAATTGCTCAGTGTAAGCAAGTTGGGAGTTATAGAGTAAAAAAAGTCCTATTTTCATATTGTTTTGCTAGACAACCACTTTTAGCTAGTAGTGATTGACCAGAAAAGTGGTCAATCAGGTTTTGATAGCTGTTTTGTTGTGTATGTTGACCCAGCATTCAAGTAAAAAAGAGTAACTCCATGGTAGAGATATTTAAGAAATTAAAAAATACTGATAATCTGACTTACTATAAATCTATGCTATCGCTACATTTAGAATAATATGTAGAGTTATGGTTACCACACTGCAGGAAGATACGTAGCACAGAAAATGGTGTAAAATGGAAAGGCACCTAAAATTATTCAAGGAGCTGTACCTGCACAGAAAGCTTATGACACAGGGGCTTTTTAACTTGGGGGGGGGAGACAAAAAAGGGATACATGATGGAGATGTAGATGATTATGTATGGAGAAAATAAATACAAAATATTAACATCTGGGGTTATCTTATAAAACTGAACAGTGGAAATTTCAGGACAGGCAGAAGGTGGGGTTTTCATGGAACATAAACTGTGGAGCTCATTGTCACAAATAAAAAAAAAGGATCTCTCTTTTGGGTTGAACATGGTAACCATGTTTTGAAGGAAGGATAGTTAGTTGCATATATACAAATCATTGATGTCTGATGTGGGAAATCTGTGGGAAAATATATTCAGTTGGAAATTCAAGGGTCTACATTTTGGATGTTACAGATTCAGCAAACTAGGAAACCATGACTCTTGTACTTTGTGTATTTGCACACAAAAGAACTGGGTTTACTTTACCAACTTCAGAAATCTTCCTAAATAAACAAAAAAGTAGAATACGTATTTGGAAATAACAAAGTTAGAATGTGCTTCTTGTATTAGTGTGATAGTGATCATAAGTCAACAAATACTGATAAAATCAGACAAGAGAACTTCATGTTGCTTTACTTGATGGTTTTGCATTTATTTTTACATTTCAATTAAAAAAAAATCTATAAAAGTAAAGCTGAGATGGGTGCCTGAAATATACAAAGACATTTTCTTCTTTCAAAATACCTTTTGTCTAATTGAAAGAAAAAATATTCCTGATTTTGAAATGTTTTGATAGTGATTTCTCATACCAATACTTAACTATAAGTACATGGTTTTTGACCTTGCAAACAGAAAAGCATCCAGTTCCATATCTGTGCCTCAAATAAACAGCAAGTCTAAACATCTGCAACCTATTTTTTTAATCAACTTAATTCACTAATTCACTTAAATTGGAGTACTTAAATTTAAAAGCTGTTTCACAAGTGATAATAAACATCTTGCTTGGCTGCTTCCTTTACGCTCTTATCTGAGAATAAGTTCAACTAAGGAAGATTTGTTCTCAATAAACATTTATAAGATTGCACTCTAAGTATCTGTATTTCTGTGCAAGCAGGAAAATAAACTGTAATGTTGACTGTAATAGCCTAGGCACCTGGTAGAAGGCATGATGATGTCACATGTATCATGACATCATCAAACTACATGAATTATGTGATTTGAATCATTCCCATGATGTGTATGATATCACTTCCCCCTTGCCTCCCCATGGATGTCCATGTGTTACATCACAGAATCCTGCTTTAAAATTGACAGGGAGGTGGGCATATTTGCATGTATTGTTCAACCTTTTGCTTGTGAGCAGACTGTTTCCATGATGCGAAGAAGTATGACAAGCCACAGAGGAATCAGTTGGCTGTATTATTTCTGCCCATCTTCTTTTTTTAACATTCAAATCTTTTATCAAACTTTCCTAAAACCTCTATAATTAGTTGTTTGGTGACTTAAACAAATAATGACACCTAAGCAATGTAGAGATATGTATATAATTGGTGCAACCAACCTTCCAATAATTTTGTAATATATTTCAACAGCGGTAATATAAAATAACTTCAGCACATTTCTATACTTGTTTAAACAAAACTATTTCTCGTAATAAATGTGCACAGAATTGCAGCGTTGTCATAGTTGCAGAATGTAGATATCATATAGCATGTATACTCTAGAATAACCTCTTGATGTAACAAACTATTGGAGGATCAGAATGTATGCAGTTTGATCCATGAAGTTTGGTTGCAAACTGAGTTGATATCACCTAGTAGAACAAGAAACACACTCTTTAAACAGCAGTAACTAACACACTGTATTACAGCAACTCAAGCACCTTTGAAAAGAAACAGTAGTCTAAGTAGATTTAGGAGACTGAGGAATGCTCTTATCCAAAAAGTAGGACGTGACTGAAGTACAAAATACAATCTGTTATCTCATGTACTGCTTCATTGAAGATGCCATTTTCAGTTTAGGGAAGCTTTTATTGCAGTTAGCCAAAAATCATAAATGGATTTTGATATAAAAGTGACTTGATTATGACAGAACCAGTTATTCAGATCATATTAAGAGTTCCAATGGCTTAGTTCTAAAGGTTGCGTTTGATAGAACAACAGAGAAAACATTTGTAGATTAAACAGCATAATATATAAGACCCACTGAGCACAGACACCAGGTTCTACCCATTTGTCATAAAACTATTAGATGCTATGAATCCTCCTTATATTGCACTAGGGGGGTCAGGTCCATTCTTACAGTCTTGAAAGGTTCTGCTCAGGAGGTACACATGACTTTCTCCCATCCAGTGCACATTGTGTGAGTGGCAGGAACACTTGGGGTGGAACCATATGTCTTCAATGGAAGGCAACTGGATCTTTGGCCAGCGCTGTGATACATAATCACTCTCTCTTGTGGATTGCTGAGTTCTTTCATAGCAAACTGTTTCAATTGTTGATTTTTATACTGCAGTGGTGGTCATCCATGTCAAATTCTAACAACTTTTTTCCAACTGTGAGAACATGTTCTGATTTATTAGACTTTGTGGAAGGCTACAGTTATATTACACTGCTTTCAATTTGGACTGATGGCATGGAAGCAGAGAGAGGACAGCTAATGGCCAGAATAAAATAATTACAATAAACTGTTGATGCCAATCTTTTTTAACATTATAATATTGTACACTAGGAGTTTTATACATATCCACGTATCTCAGATTTTAAACAGTATATCCTCATAGAAGGATATCTCTGAACAGGTTGAATCCTGGCTGAACTACAGAGTTAGGCGCAGAGGATTTTTTAAATTGTCAATGGCCCAAGTTTCTAATAACTGACACTTATTAGACTTCATCAGTATTCCACTTCCACCTCCCTCCTTTTAATTTATAATAAGTAAAAAGGTAACAAAAAGATACTATAAGACTTGATAAGACCAATTCTTACCTTAATCCACAATTTTTCTCTGAAATTTTAATTTATATGCACGTGCATGCACGCACGCACATACACACAATGGTCTAATATTTATTGTAGTATAACTTGTTACTGAAGTTAAAGCATGGATCATTCATGAAACTGATACTTTTGAACTTCGGATCTTTATATGAAATCTGCTGCTTTAATTTGTAGTTCAACAATTAGGCTATTCATTTTACACTGGCCTTTTTGTTGTGACTAACAGCAACTGGAAGTACAGATATTAGTAGTAAATATCCTCAATCAAATGTCTTTTGCTGAATAGATGATGTCTAGGAGCACAGCAGTGAGCTGTTGTTTGTTGTTTCTTGGCAGCCCTATTCAACAAATGTAGAATTATTTAATCATTGTCACATATTTTTATTATTATGTACAGAGTTATCAAAGCTAAAGCTTATCAGAAATCACAGACTCATTTCTAACAAATGCAAACAAAAAGAAAACAAAATAAATCAAGCTAATTAAATCTAACTTTAATTTCCCACACAATCTTTTACACTGTACTGCTCTACATGTTAAGTTTACTCTATCTAAACTTTTCAAGTTCACTATGTTCTTTTCAAAAAATCCAGAAATGAGATCTAAAAGATACTATGTCCAACAAGCTTTGTCTCTTTAGTTGCAAAATGCAAATATTATACTATGCAGCTCATTCAGGTCACTTATTTTAACTCCTGTCTACCTTTTAGTCTCTCTAATTAGATTAGCAGCTCATGCATCTATAATGAATGTTTTTCTAAAAAAATGCAAACGATAATGTAAGAGCATAGGTCTCCTACACTTGCAACTAGGAACACTTTTAAGACTACATACTACATTTTATCTCAGCTCCAAGGAGCTGAGAGATCCACTTCAATAAATTGTAGCACACATCATTTAAAATAGTAATCATTTACACTGCAGATGTACAACAGCATGGATATAAACGTTGACCCCATCAATTGGGTTTGAGTGCTGTTACTAACCATGTGTCCTCATTGAATCAGCCAGTTACTAACCAAGAACCTGAGACTGCAAATTTTTTCTTGCAATTGTAAACACATTTACTCCCAAGTAAATCTAACTGGTTTAAATGGAAGGGGTTTATGGCCACAATCCTCAAACTGTAGCCATCTAATGAATTGCATTGTAATGATCCTGTAGAAAAGTCAGCTGAATGAAACTCCTCAGGAATAAATGGCTTAAGTGGAGGTCTAAGTCTGTGCCTTGAGAGCTCAAACCAGCTGAGCCAGAGAAATAGCATTCATTAGGATAATTCTGACCTGAGTCATCAACATTTATACCATTAAATGGGCCAGTCAGCTGTGTTTGACATTTACTAGGGTAACTGGCATACTCCATCAGTTTTCAAATCACTCTATTCTCAGTGGAGTACAGAAAACCTGGTATACATACAGATGTTGGTTATTAATAATTGCAGTTGCAATTCACTGGAATATGTCTCAAGAGTAATGTTGCTGCCATTTATTCAAGGGAGTAAGGAATAAAATCTATGTATAAACACTGAAGCACCCATGGTCTAGAATTATGTGCAGAATTTTCCCATTCTCTTGCCTGAGGAAGGCAGCACAGGTTCCTCATTGCGTGAACATTAATGCCTTGCTCACTAAAGAGAAATAAGAGACCTATAAATGTAGAACTTCACATTCAGGAGCCTAATGGTCAAGCCACTCTATAGAAGTCCCATTGATTACTCTAAAACTGACAATTCTCTTTAGGATTGTAATTTAAATCAAAGTAAATATAATTTAACTTCAGACTGAAAACTATGCTAATTATGTATATTTGCATTTCCAGGCCCTAGGACAAACAAAGTATTAACTCATAAGGAAATAAAAATATGTGATAATATACAACAAAATAAAATTAAACGGCACATGCACAGACGAAAACACATTTTGTTATGACAGAGAATATATAGTATTCTCCAAAGAATCAATTTCAAGTTATAACTTTGAAGCTATGGAATCTTACTGAGTAAAGTATTTAATCAATGAATGGTCAAATTCTTAGGAGGGCAAATTCTCCCCCAGAAACCAGCTTCTTTGCTCATATGGTGAGCGCAAATACAGCAGATGCACACAATTTGAATAGCTTTAGCAGAAGAGAACAAGTAGTCTCTTTGGACTATAGGCACCCAAAAACAAGTAATTTCAGGGGTGCGTTCCAACATACAAAGAATACTATATAGCAAAAAGCAGAAGTGCAAAAATATCATTAGCTGTTTTAGGTGTCCTATTCACATACTATATTGACAGATCTTGCATCAGAATGACCATTAAAGCAAACACACAAGCAGGGTTCACATATCACTTGAATAAGCTACAGTGATAAAGTTCATATATCTTGCTAAATCATAAACTATGATTTACAAAAAACAGTGACTGAGTTCATATAATGTGCTATAACAAAACCCAACAAACCATTTTATGGGTTAGCGTAACGTGGGAACTAAGTCAGTGGCACTGTAAGCAGTTTGGAAAAGACATAGCACATATTTAGGAAAAGAGGCATGCCAGTCTCTTACATTCACCAACCAGACATAGGCATTCATAACAAGCCATGACATCAAAATAAGTGCACCATCATGCAAATGATACAATTGGGTACTTACATCCTGATTCACAAAAATATACACATTCTATTATTTGTATGATGGCACATACAAATAATAGAATGACACAAAAGTTGTCATTTTCCCCTCATTGACCTCTCCACAGGCACCCATACAGCTGGAAAGCATGATTTCTCAGACAGCAGCAATGGATAGGAGAAACAACATATCCTACTAAATCAAAGTTTGTGATGCACAATGCATACCTTTCAAAATTAGAGGTTAATGACTGGAAGTTGTCAAGCTAAATCCACCTGTATTGGGGTTAACAAGAATATACTGTGCATGGCATCAGCAGCCAGAGGATTTGTCATCAGGTCACTATGAGGGTTGGGAGAAAGGGCTTTGTCCCTTGGATCATATAGTCTTGGGTAGTCAGCTTTAACTGGCATGGCTCTCCTGGCCTCAAAAAGAGATTTTTTTTTCCAGCCAGCTATCAGATTCTTCTAACTAGAATTACTAGTAGTGATATTCTATAAGCGGTTTATGCTCTATCATTTCCTCTAGGCTTTCCAAATAGAATAGTTCACAACGTAACATTTCATATATGCCAAAAGTTTCATTGAGTTATAATTAGGCTTGGGACTAGCTATACCAATCTTGTAGACTGAAGTAGTATCCATTAGATGTTTAATGCTAATTTCTATTTGTGCTGTCACTGGATTATTCTTATTGTATAGAATGTAGGATGCTATAATAATTTTACAACTTAAGGGAAAATTAGTTCCTCTGTGTACATTATAGCTTCAGACAAAAGGTCCTGTTTTGTATCTATGAAATATTGTCTTTGTTTTTCAAATTTGAATTAATGCAGAATAATTTATTCCTAGATTCAGAATTCCCATAAAAAGAAATTTGAACAAATGTCCATTGATTCAGTCCTCTTTAATGTACTATTATCATTCATTCTTTGCATTTACAGCCTTTTGTTAAAAATTATCTCTTCTTGGCATTGTAATTTATTCATATATCATTTTAGTTAAAGTTCACCACTCCTGTTCTGCCTTAATCAAGTACTTTACACTTATTCATTCTTATATGGACACTGGCTACCTGTCTATTTTTAGGTTTAAATTGTTAGGAATAAATAAACCAGGAATCTTTAAATGTGTATAGTTGTTATCCTCTGTTGTGAGATGCGAGAGAGAAAGCCAATGACTTGCAATTAGCATTTAGTCACAGTAATGTTGGGAATGCAGCTGTTTGACGCATGTTTTATTAGGAAATGTAGTATGTATTAGGCTAATTGTTGAATCAATTCCCCTGAGAAAAACAACTGAAAAGGATCCAGAAGCATTACTTAATCATTGCACATAACCAGTCTTGCATTTATTTGAGCAACCTTGGAATGAGGTCATTTAGACTGGAAAGTAGAAGAAGACATCATCTTCTCTGCCATGGCCCAAACATCATACCTTGCTGGTAGCCCACTGGTTCCTTCTGACTCCAATTATTGCTAAGTGCTTCTGCTCAGGTTTACATCTCTGATGTGGCCACCAGATGATTTTGTTTCTATGGCTTTGTAACATTTTTCTGTTTCTCCACTCTTTCTGCTAGTAAATCAGTTCTTCCTGATTGCCAGTTATTTCACTTATCTGCCTGTATTTCTTCATGACATATAGGTTTGAGCCCTGGTATTTGATCGAATGTGCATGTTCTGTGTTAGTGATCTCTGGTATTGCTTTTTTCCCATTCAGATCTTCCTAAGTTGAATCTCCCATCACTCCACCACAATTTGAACTCCAATCGTGATGGGACTTGTACTTTGATTTTTCCATATGCTTCGGAACTGACAACATGCTCCCTTACATACAAAAGGAAAATAAATTCTGCACAAATAGGTAATTCACCACAAGTTTTCATGAATTTTATGCATTATGCGTAATGTTAATAAGAAGAATGTGGATAATATGTGTGAATATGTGGAACATTATCAAAAATCCCAATCCTGAACTTAGTACTTGAAAGGGCCATTGATTTCAATGGGTGAAATGTCCACTTGGCAAGTTGAGAGCTGAAATATTTATATGAACCCAACAGCAAAAACAGTGAATGACCAGTTCTAAACAAAAGTTTAAATGTCTGTTGACTAAAGGCAGAGACATCTGTTTTCATCAACTCTGTTATTTGCAACTATTGGAATGACTTCAGTCAAAAGTTCATCAAAATGGAAGCAGGCAGCAGAACTGTGGGCATGCTGCTAGAAATTTGTAATTCTAATTCTTATGTACTAAAATTCCACTAGAATTTGAAATCAGTAGATAAATATTAAAAGAAGCAAACAATCAGGTTGCACAGCTTGAAAAGGCAATAAAATAATCTTATCCTGGCAAAATCCTTTCAGAATATATACTGAAATTGTTCAAAAGCCTTTCTTTGCTAAATATACAACTGGCTGGCTATACTAATTTTTGACAATATAATTAACAATATGAACAGGACATGCTAAATATACAGAGAAGAATGCAAAGTAAATTGTTGGATGCAAGCCAGTAATTATGTACCAAAACAGCCTTCTAAATAAGGTTCTGGAAGTTACTAACCTGCAAAAAAGAAGTTTATTAGCTTTTGGCGAGCTGGCAGAGGAGATTTAAGCAACTGTGAGTCCCTTCCAGCAGCTACTGCTCTTCTATGCATGGCAGAGGAGGAGATTTCTGATAGCCTGCTTGGTTTCTATGCTGGAAACAGAAGGATGATAGCACATTTCCATTCTCTTACCTACCTGCAGTTCTCTCACCTACATGCTATTTCCTGTTGCTTTATAACCAGGTGAATGCTTAAATTTAACGATATGCTGAGGTCTCCTTAAGTGTACCTGAAATTTCTTCAGGCCAAAATCCACTATCTTCTGAAACCCTGACACTTACTCCATTTATTTTGTCACTTCCATGTTTTCTGCAACTAAAATTACATCCACATGCATTAAGCGAGTGAAACATAATGAATAAAAGTAGTTTATGATGATTTAATAAAATATGTGAGGTTAATTTATCCTGATAGCATGTAAGGTAGAGAATTTATAAACTACAACACATGCTAGCAAATCTCATCTCATCAAAAGAGGAATACTAGCTAAAAGCCTTCAAAGAAACACTGTAAATATGTTTAACTTTTTCAAACACATTGTCTTTTGTATTTAATTATATTACTTGATGAATTTATATGCTATCTGATAAAATCTATAAGCCTTAAAGATGATGCTTTTCACTGCAGTGATATCTGAGGTGGTATCTTTCTGGATTATTCTACATTTTAAAGTAACTGTAATTTCTAGCAGCCAATAAATCCGTCCTTTGTACATAAGCATATTTTATATAAATAGGGGAAAGTAGCACAATACATATGTGATTGGATAACAGCTTTTAGCAAGAGGAATAGTCATGTGAAAATGGCTGAAAGCAAGCAGAACCAGCCTGTGACATGTTGCTGTCCAAAAGGCTAAAATAAAGGATGCTAAAGATAAACTTCCAGGTAATATCCTGCAACAGAGTAGAAGAGGCTAGAACTCATTACAAATTACCTTAGGCTGCAAACTTTGAATTGCATATTTTGGCTACTTAAGTATATTCAAGCCAAATAGAATAATGTTAAATACAGGGGTACATTTAGTGTCCCCCTGCCCTTATTAGGAATGAGACTAGCTCTTACACTGAAACAATTCTCATAAACAACACACACATTTTAAGGGTAGCTGTGGCAGACTGCAACACACACACAGTACATGAAAGACTCCTATCATGCTGCAAGAAGACTTTTCCAGAAGACTTTTCCTCAGCATCTGATTTACCGCTATTTAGCCCAATCCAAAGAGCTGTATATGGTGGGCTTGAAATGTGCAGCAAGGTTTTGAGACACTTCCATCTCAAAAATCCTCAGAGGGGCTTCTGCTGCAGACTAAGGAACTGTGGTCAGAAATGAGAAAGTGAAAAATTCTGCTGGAAACTGCAAGCCCGGCTGAGTTCTAGAGCAAGTTCTTTGGATCAGAGTCAAGGAGCTGGAGGCAGGAGAGGTTCTTCTGCATGTGTTCCCTGAGCTAATTCTATGCCAAACCTAAATGAAGAGATATACATAAAGTTGAATAATTTCTATTGCACATAGTGGGCAGCATGAATAGGAGAACAAACATTCTTATATTTTTAAAGATAAAATCTTGAAACAGCTGGATGTTCAGCTTAGATTTGTAAGATATAGATGCAATAACTAGGGTTCATCAGGGAGTGTAGAAAGTTCTCTAAAGAACACAGGATACTACCTTTTACCATATCCAACTATTAATTTATCTAGTCCATACTGTTTGAGTTAAACCAACTATCCAAAGTTCAAGGTAGAAGGTTTTTACATCATCTATTACTTCGTCCTTTTCTACCTAAATATCAGGAATACAATGTGGGAGCTTCAACATGCAAAGCGTATGCTCTGCCTTTTAACAAGTTGTTCCTCAGTATTTCTTTTGGTCAGCTTCCTTGCATCTTCACAATGCAAAGACTGGAATCACAATAGGCTATTTGAATTGCTCATATTCATGAAGTATGACATACCATATTTTTGCCTAATCTGAAATAATTTCATTGGTATTCCCATGAGATACCAGTGACTCTTAATGTCACAAATTCATTTTGGATTACAATAGCAGTAACTTAAAACCAACTTCATGGGATTAATCTACAGAAGTTCAAGATAAATACGAAATGTCAGCATAGCAAGGGATGAAAACTAACAAAATTTCAGTTTCTGGAAAGTGACTTGAAGTAGGTATGCAAATTGTGAGAAATTTCCATAGCAGGACATTTTGTTTAGTAGTTCTGACAACTGTAGTCTTGACATAGCTGGAGGGCATCAGACTGGTGAAGCCTATAGCAAAGGGACATTCACATGAGGCTTTCTTTGTTCCACTGAGAACAAATTATTGAGATACATCACCTAGGAAAACAAATCAACTGCAGTGCAGAATTTTTGGATATGTGTACCCTTTCATCTCTTATATAGACTACAAATAAAATGAATGAGGATTGTACAGGAAAGTACTGGGAACACATTCCAGGAATTAACATGCAAAGAATAAGGAAATGGTTGATACAGCTCAGTAAACAGAAAAGGATTAGATAGCACAGCAACAATTATAATAGATAAGAGTACAAGCCATTAATTCATTTCAATAGCACCTGCATCTTCTGTTTTGTTGCAGCTATTAATATATTGGCCCTGGAGCTACCTCAGAATCATTCTAAGGCAACCAGGTGAGGAGTGGATTAAAAAATATTTCATCAAACCATACTACAAAAATAAAATTTCTTTTTAAAATTCTATTTTTTACAAAAACTCTAAAACATATACAGACATTTAATGCAAGATTTAAAATATTTGTGCTAAGACAGCCTGTGACTTATTCATCAAAGTGGGCTTTCAAATACAGCAAATGTGAAAGGCAAAGCAGAGCACAGCAGTCAGTGTTAATGAGTATGGGTTCCTAACATTTTCTTACATAGAAAAGTAAAATCTACTGAATTATATGAAATGTCAGATTGGAAGCAAACTTGAAGCAAATGTGAGGGTTATGTGGTCTGATGCCTGAGATTATTATAATCATGACACACAGGCTTGAATGACAGCTATGAGCACCTGGTTTCTCACACCATAATCCTATGCATGTTTACCCAGAAGGAAGTTTCAATAAATTAGATCCATACTTACACAACCAAACAGTATTTCCATTATAATAATTATAACTTTACTCATACTGTATTGTCCCACAGATTTCAATGGGCCAACTCTGAATATATCTGTAGTTGGATCCAGCACATTTTGTGCAAAGTAGCTTACTCTCAAGAGAAAAATGCACAGAATTGCAGAGTGTTCCTTTACATGGCTCTGCAAAAGAAAGCCGCACTGGATTCAATGGGGGTTTTGCCCCAAATAAGTGGGAATAAGTTTATAACTTCAAAAGGTACAATTCTATACAGAGTTATGCCTCACTAAATCCAACAGGACTAATTTCTGAGATATTTTTGGGTTGCAGTTTTAGTTTATGTATACATATTTGTACGTGTGGGTATGGATATAGGTTTATATGTATATATACATATATACACATGCACACACGCACACACAAATACATATGAATACTTGACTTTTTAAAATTTCGTCCTTGAATCTGAAAATGATAAATCTGAAATGCCTAATTTCCAAAGGCACAGAAGTATATTACCAGAAAAGATAAAGAGGAAATGCTGTGCAGTGACTGACATAAATTCAGCAGATGAGAGAAATGATCCCTACAAAATAATTTCTTTAAAACCACCTGTTCCCTTTATCACACGTGCATTATTAATACCTGGAGATTAAGTCACAGACACAAGTTATTATGAAAATAAAATGTTATCATCTTCCATCTCTTATTAGAGAAGGATCCTGTGGGTTACAATAGCCAGATGTATTTTTACGTTTTTCTTTTAACTTCAGGGTATAGAGATGCAGCATCTCAATGTCATTCTTTTAAATATTACTTTAAAAATAATATTTCTGAATTCATGATCAAGCAAAAAAACAGGAAAAAAAAAAAAAACTACCACCATAACTCCCAGAGGAGGACCAAGTCAAACTTCAGCACCCAGGAACAGAAGTCAAGTCATGTTTTGGTAGAGAGACTAGATTCCTCTAATCCATGGTGGCATCGTTCAATGCTAGAAGAAAATGGCAGCAAAACTGATCAGCAGCTTCTCTCTACCTGGAGAATTCCAGATAGACTAACAAATGTCAAGCTACAGTGGGACCCATTGAAAGTTTCGCATCTTGCATTGTTTTGACAGGTCTAACTAGGTTCTTTTTCTTGGAGAGGCAGAGCATCATTTTGAAGAACTACACAATTATGTGAAGTCTCCAAGGAAGTCTTCAGACATACAGTGATGCTTTTTACCTTAGACAGTGATCTTATCAAACTAGTTTGTTCATCCTTAGGTTAGCCTGATATAGCCTTACAATGAATTCATCTCTGTGGAGTTTTGACTGGAAGACACATCAGAATCTGTATTCTCTCTGTATTTCTCCAAATCATGAAAATAAGGATGAGATAAGGCATCATAAGCTGATATTCTCTTCATGGGACTGAATGTCAGACATTTCTGTATATGGTAGAGAACAGACAATTAGTAGCAGGCAACACTCTGATGGATCCAGCAACACACTTCTTCTGCTGTGAGCCAAAGACTTAACAAGAAAAGGCAAAGATTTATTAGGTAATGATCTTCTTTAAGTTGTAGTCAAAGCGTTTGTCTTGTGTATTTATCCTCATCAGCATTGCCTATAACAGAAGCAGCATGTAACTAGCCTTGACTGATTGAAAAAGAGCTATGCAGGATCAGGTGTGGTTAGTACCTGAAAGAGAGACCACCAGAAAATCACAGAACTTCAGATTAGATTGGAGAATTAAATAAACATAGTGGGGAAAGGCAATAGCAAACTGTTTCCATACTGTTGTCAGGAAAACTACATGGATGCATTCATGAAGTCCCTAGGTGTCAAATTCAACTTGAAGATGACTATACTTTATAATTAATATTATTGGCAATTATACTAAAAGTAAAACCCAAAACAATGCTACATTAGTTCTGAAATACTGTGTGTTGTTATACTACGAGAAAGAGATATATATTCTACAATGAAAATTCTGTGGGATACTTAATTTGCTCACTAGTTTCTTAGGTCATTACTATATACTGTACATACTGTATGGGCAATATACTATTGCATGCACTACAGTTATTACACCAGTTATTAAACTACAATAAATTCTGATTTCACAATTTCATAGTTTATGTTGATCAATATGATCTCATTTCTCACAACTAGAGCTGCAATTATTCTATCCCAGATTTTTTTGTTAATTTGTATAATCTGATCTATGAACAAGAAAAACTATTTTGCTGCCGGACTTGTTGAATGAATTACAGTGGTAAAATCACAGTGCCATTAATAAAGTATCTGAAAGACTGTTAAATTACTTTAAATGGAACATATCCTCTTTTTAAATATTTCTTAGGAAAACCAGACATCATAACAGTTTTCTTTTATTTACATTAACAGAAATCAATTTTAATAGCAGCCCAAGAAATGGCATCGGTGTGGCACACCAGGGGCCTGCTTAGGGCCAATCACAATGCAAATTATTTAGGAATGCAAAGATAGGACATTCAGTTATTGATAGGAATTTTTTTATATAACTAGGCATATTAACTCAAGAAATGCTCAGAAGATACTGTAATCTGATCTTTTCAATACCATATTTTATTGTATTTCACATTCTCCTTCTTCTCCAAACCCTAATACTATGGGCTGTTATTGACAGGGGAAGAAAAATTCTATTCAGAATCTTCTTTAAAGCATTTTGTGGCTGCTGAGTTTTTGGTTTATTTTGTGAAGTGAAGGTGAAGTTGTGGCTCTGGAAGTAAGGTTTTTACCTCCTCCCAAAATTTATATTTGAGGACATTTCTTGAGATCCCCCAAGCATTTTTTGTCCTTATTTGGAGCTGGAGAAGACTCTTCCACATTCCTTCTCAGCTCATCAACAGAGAATTATAGATATTGATGATTTTTTGCTCTGTGATAAGCTGCTTATTTCTAAAACTTTATTATGACAGATACTTACAAGTAGCAAATCTTTGCCCAATTCATCAATATCTGTTACAAGAAGTTCAATGGGCTGAGGGGATTGAGAAGCAAAAGCATTCCTCGGGAGGGCAACATCATTAGGCCAATCTTCTTCTTCAGGAAGCCCAATTACTCTGTACATGAAAGAAGGAACAGGCACTTATTCCAGGTAAAACATTAGTCCTTACTACGTTTCTTTCACTATCTGATAGTTCTCAATTGTGAATTTTCATTCACTTTTTAAGAGATTTCAATACAAAATTGTAAAAGCACCTTAAACTAAATGCTTTCTTTTAAAAAGTCGATTAAAATTAACAAATTTCAAATATCTATTGGCATAAAAATAATAAAAGCTCAATTAAAGAGCAAACAAAAGAAACTGTTTTTAGAGGATTCTTAAAAGTATCACAAATAGTGTCAGCATTACGCATTTTGTAAATCAGTTCTATAGGACTGGAGTTACCAATTACCAATGAGAGGGTCTTATCTTAAATGTCTGCTAAACTCTATTATTAAGGGTGGGTTAGTAAATTCTCCAAATATGATCTCATAGCTGAAGAGTAAAAACAGAAAACAAAGAGAAGGAAAGAGAAAAAAATACATTTAAAAATTTACAAAATACAAACAGAAAAGAAGTGTTAAGTATGTAAGAGACCATTTGATTATAAACAGCTTCTTAAAAGTATGGGAGAAATACAAAAGAGGAATAAGCCCAGCTTTATCCCATCTTGCCTCAGCATTATTTACCTTCATAAAGGTGAATATGTTAAAACAATTGATCAGTGAAGTGATAATAATTCATGCACAGTGCAAGATTTAATCTTTAATAAAACAAAGATGAAATCTTTTGAAACGCTTCTTGGAATGGTTAGAAATGGCTCCTGGGTTTCAGTATCTTCAAATAAGTGGTAGAGGAACTACAAAAACAAGGTGACATACTTAAGAGATTTAACTGACCTGTAAGAAATGCTTATAACACAAAATTCAGACATTTGTTTGGGCTTATATATGTGTGTTTGCTTTGGACTGCCATCTTGTGATCATTCTTGCAGTTATTTTTGTACCTATTTTGATTAATTTTCTGTATGATTTTATTGTTGTGAGCAGCCCAGAGATGGTTGGAACTGGGTGGCATCCAAACTGAATTAAATACATAAATAAATGTTACTGAAATATGATTCAGAAATGGAACAAGCCAAGATCGCACAATTACATGGATGCTGAATTTAAACAGGACTATTGATATTCATTCATTTATTTATTTAATTTGTATGCCGCCCATCTCCCCCAACGGGTAACTCTGAGCGGCTCACAATTAAAACCAAAAACCCATGAATAATTAAAAAATACCACACAGATAATATGCAAGAATGGAAATATTCATGGAAGATAAATATTAAGTTTGCTGTGAATATTATACTTAGAGAACACTAGTATAAGATGTTTTATCAGTGTTGACTGCCAAAATGGGCAATAAATATTCAAAACCCTTTTTGAAATGTAACTATCAGGTTGGGTTGTTCTTCCATATCTGGTGGCAATGTCACAAAAAATTTTTCAAAATTTTCCAGCAATTTTGGAAGGCAACCTATCTTAGGATGAAACATGTGTTATATACTGACTTTTCTGCCAGGTGTTTTTCTGTTAAGTATCTTCAAGCCTTATATTCCTACAAACTATACTGAGTTCGCTTTATATATGATATGATAACTGCTACAATGATACTCTGTACTTCTCATTGGAAATTACAAACAATCCTTTCCATAGAGTGCTAGCAGATTAAACTTTGGGAATATGCATCAATATAAAAAATAACTTCCTAACTTTAACTTAAATTGGAAACATTTATAAACTAATTTTGCTGTCACATCTCATGTTAGATTTCTTTCACCATAAAGTTTTACACCACTAGAGGTTGTCTGTCTGGCCGTAAAGTTAAGCATGAACTGTTTCCATTTAGTTAAAAATTCTTGTTAATTCTTATTACTTTGACTGTTTCTGCCAACCTCTGACATGATTCTGATATTAGTTTGTAAAGTGCTAAACCATCATAGGATTATTTTTATAATCCTTTCAGTCAGATCTGACTTGTGTAAAACGTAACCTTGGTTACTCCTGCTACTTTTATTTCTGGAGTCAGAGACTTAGCCATTCAAGTGGAATGTAACCTCATCCAAACAAGACAGTTAGATCAGTATCCTTCCTTACCCCAAATATTTATTTTTTCCCCAAGATTAAACTTGAGTCTGGGTTTCCAAATCCATCTCCAGATTGGAATACTGCATTCCAAAATGCACTAAATCCACTTTGTATCATCCCAGTAAAGCTAAGGCTAGAGTGTCTAAGGCTAGTGGCTAGAGTGGAAGTATTACTTCCAAATAGCTTATCCTAGTGGAACCCACAACACAAAGATGTAAACCAGGGGCAGCTATGTTCTCGTTGTCTCACATCCAAATTACCTGTACAGAAGATGCTTCCCTAGAAAGTTCAAGTTATTCTTTATGTTCCACTTTTTATTAAAAAAAATCAGTTTGAAGATTTGGGACAGGAATATCTATAGTCTTCATAACTACCCAGAAATCTTTGAACACTGGTTTAGTTACCACCACCAATATTAAACAATACTCAGTGTACACTGCACCTTAAAATATAAACAGGCAAGTGCTGGTTTCCAAATAACTTACAGACTAAAACTGGGAATGGTAAACTAATAGCGGAAAAGAGGAAAGTGAAATGGATGTGGCCATTCATATATAGTAATTAAAAGCTCACTTGAAGTTGCAATTGAGAATTCAAAGGACAACTCAAAGGCTTAATAAAAGGGCTCTGAAAAGATGAAAAGCAAACAAACATGGGATCTGATAGATGTAGAATGAGATATTTAGCTCTCATTTCATTTCCTCTTAAATACAACACACAGACTTTACAATGGAAATTAGTACAGTACAAGACAAAAGTTACATCAGATGATTTGGAATTAAAACCCTGTGCCACCAGGGGGCAGCACTCCTCAGGTTTTAATGAAATTGTTTTTTTTAGTTATGAGATGTATTGAAGACATTGTGAAGACAC